GTTAACATGGTATCAGAGCCACTAAGCTCACGCCATGGATTCTGGTGGTTTCACTTCTTAATAGTTTACATTTTTTTTTCCTAGTTTAGTTTATCTTTGAATTTTCATTAGATTTTCGGTGCTTCCGTGATTGTTCTTGGTTTATTTTTCTGGGATATGAATTGAGATTTCACCACTGATCTCAATGAATCCTCTCTCGTTTCGACACCGGATTGTTAATCGTAGACAGAGAGGCTCTTCGCGCTAGCTTTTGGAGTTTGCCTCTGCCATTTGCAGAAAAGCCTAGATTAACCTGCACTGAAGTTTTCTTCTTCAAATCTTGTGTGGTCAAAGGTGGAAGGTTGGCGGGACAAGAAAGATCGAGTTTCTTTAATTTCATTTCCTTGAGTTGACGATTTTCTGGTGGCTGAAGGTGGATTCTGGTCTTGGGAGCTCTTCACGTTCTAATTCTGTGCACTCCAACTGTTTGAAGAAATGGGTCAGTGAATTCTTTGATCTCTACTCTGTTCTCTGGTATGGAAGAAAGACCAGACATGTGTGCACTCCAAGTGTTTGTTGAAATGCCAAACTCAACAGTTTTATATGAAGGTTAAGTTTTCAGTCCCTTTTCTTTGAATTCTTGAACAATTAGAATGGATGTTTTCTGGGTTTTTCAAGTTTTTTGTTGCTGGTTAAGAATTACAGTTCTACTACTTGGTTGGGCTTGTGTTGTCTTTTGGACGTATATTTGTTCAAGATTTGGGTATGTGTGTTTCTGTGTGCTCTCAATTTCAAGAATATTGTTGGATTATGGAAAATGGCACTATCGATTTGAGTTTTCTTTGGGTATTCAACAAGGTGATTTGTACTGTGAAGATGGCATGTGAGCGACTTGATTGATTGTTCATATTTGTACTCTTTGTTGCTCTGCTCAATGATCCTTATTCCAGGGGATGCTACTTTCACCACATATGCCTGTCGATTACCAAGCTCCACAATTTTCTGAAGTAACACTTGCAATGTTTTCCACTTGATCTTTAAGTTTACTTGGACTATGTTGTGAGGCCATGGAATTGAGTCGGATATGGATGGCTTGCTGATCTGCATCCAACGCAGCACCACCCTTCAAATTTTCTTTTCCTTTTCTAGCATTCTCATGCCGACTCATGTCAAAAGGTCGTAGTGAACACATATTAGGTTAACTGGAATTAGGCTTCACAGAAAAACGAGCAAGTTCACGACCGGAGGCTGGTATTCTTTGTAGGGGATTATCCTACGCATTTTCAGGAACAACTTCACTATTCGGCTTAGCGTGGAGTTAAATTGGGAATGGATGGCTTTCTGCAAATCTTGATATGGTTGGTGAAATGGGTATGGATTCTTGGGTTTGATTACTACTAATATCTTTAGGGTGTTCATTGTAGAATTACTCAGGAAGTTTTACAGTATCCAATTCCTGTCTCTCTGCTTCACTGTTTTTATGCAATTCTGTTGAGGAGTTTGTGCAGTAATTTTCCCTTATCTCAGCCTATAATGTCGAGTCTAACCAACTCAATTGTTAGCATGAATCTACAGTAAGTCCAATTATACGATGAAGTTTGAAGAAGTTGTAAACGGTAAATCCCACGAAGGGTAACTCCGTGATTGAATAGGTAAATCCCATGAAGGGTAGAAGAAGTTGTTAACAGTAAATCCCATGAAGGGTAATCCCGTGTTTTGAGTAGGTAAATCCCACGAAGGGTAATCCTACATAGATGTTGATTTTCAGTTGTTGAAATTGTGAAGGCCAATGCCATTTGTCAAAAAAGTTGTTTTTTGGTAAAATTCACAAAGGGCGATCCCGTGGTGCTATAGTGAAGGCCGATGCCACACTATAGTTTGTTATTTTTCTGTTTTTTAAGGCCAAAGCCAATGTTAAATGAAGTTGTTGACGGTAAATCCCACGAAGGGTAATCCCCACAAGACATTGTTATAACCGGCGTGAGGGTGTGTTACAATTTTATAAAAGGCTCTTCTGTGATTGAAACTCATGTGAGAGGCAAAGAAATATTGGAATTTTTTTTTTTTGGATGGGAAGATTGGTATCTACAATGGCTGAAATTCTATAAAGGACAAAGCCTTATAAAGTGATAAAAAATTTTGGGAATGACCAATGTGGGACAAAGAAATTTCTACTCAAACTATTCAAATTTCCAACAAAGTCAAACGGTTTCCTTGTCTTTTGTACCTTTCTTTCCGTAGTACAAGACTACTAAAACATTAGCATCAAAATCATATATTAGCCTTGTAATTACCAAATTAAACAAAGAAAACTAACGAAAAGTCCAAAAAAACTTATCTTTTAACTAAAAGCCCTTTTTAAAGATATAGTAAATAGTGCCAGTGAAGGTAAATATGTGGTTTTTCGTTAAAAGTGAACAGTACAGGGAGTGTTATGTTAAAACTCCCATTAAACAAAGGAACAAACAAAATTCTTTTCTTCTAAAATAAACATCTCCAGTGCATGTCATACATTAGCCTTGAATAATTTCTTTTCTTCTCCTCTTATGGCACATAAAAATTAACTAATCAAAATATTTTTTAAATTCTTTAGGCATAGGAAAAACTAACAAACTATATACAAGTTTGAAAACTTATGCTTATCAACTAAGTCACATGCTTTGAATGAAATACATACCTCATGCCTTCATATGTTCACCACTTCTTTATATACATATATGTAATCACATGACCAATCGTAATTCTTACATAGAATAGATAGAATACAAATGAAAATTGTCACTTACTACAAACCTCGTTCATTTGTATAATGTCCTTGTTCTTGCCATAAGATGCTTTCTGTCATTCTCAATCAATCCATAAGTCATGAATCAATTTTCACAGTTGACTACAGACAAAACTAATTGATTAGTCACGCAGATTCCTTATGGAGTTAAAATCATTATAAACATTACTTGAGTTAATCCCAAGTCATACTTGAGTACTGGTACATAGTGCATATATCCAGGGCATAATAATTCAAACATAACCAATAATCCTACGGCATTATTAATGCTCATCCACCAGATTTATACATATATTTGTGTCTTTGCGTAGAAATCATTTCAAGCAATACAGGACAACCCAACCCTTTAAAAAAACGACACGTCATTTGTCCTACATATTTGCAAAATTATTTCCCACAGCAACTAATGACATGGTTATATATAATTTCGTATACATTATTTTACCCAATCAAATGGAAATCAGAAAACCTGCGGCAATCCGTGGGGCATTTGAGAGGTGATTAGTGTTCCCTTGTCGCACGTCCACCATGAACATACCTCACACAGGTGTTCTCGCCCGTGGCAGTAAAGAGCCCTCCTGAAGCTGTGGCTGGAGTTGATGGGGATGGGGCCATCAATTAGGTTACTTAACAATTTGCTGCTAGTTGAAAGAATCTGTAAAACACTTATGATACCATGTTTTATATATACGCTTCTCAGCATTCCTATGTGATTATAGGATCCCAATTCCTATATGATTTTTTAAAATTCATGCTTCAATTCTATAAAAATTATATATAGATTCGATGCTTCAAAATGTTCAATCATATACCATGGTTACAATATTCATGGACGATGAAGAAATCTGCTTGCTTAGATCATCAATGGTAACATCACAAACATATGTGCTAACATGAGCAGTTGTGAAATCTTTTTGTATCCCCAAACGGCATCTTGACTGGAGTCAATAATTTAGATAAATTACAAAACCCTAAATTTATCATTGCTCATCCTGATCGAATTGAAGTATATTAACATATACAACATTAAAAAGTGATAATCTCACTTCTAGTCGAACACATAAATCATTGCCTGTTTTGATGCATGTTGCCAAAACATATAAAATTAGGATTCATATTCATGGCAAGCATGATGTGCAATGTATGTATATGCCCTGCAGTATACATCACTATGCATGTATATTATATAATTAATTTAAGCTTCGAGGGATTCAACTAAATAGATATACCAATCAAAATACAATATCATAGACACAAAGATCGAATTCAATGGGACAAACCATATTGCTTTGGTAGATGACCCTGTTTGGTTTTCCAATGTAAGGTCAGAAAAAATATAACATGCTCACAAAAATTTAAGAACATCAGCGATTTTGGTTTGACACTGCTTCACACCTAAAAATGAGTGAGCTACATCTGAGTTAAATTTGGAGATGGAAGTCTTCTTTCGTTTCTCGATGGTGAAGTAAGACTAAGCTCATGAGCTTATTATCCTAGGTCGGAACAAGTTGATAGGATCCCATTTTTTACGCCCCCATGTCGAAATATCAATTACTGATTAAGCTGTCTGCTTTGAGTCTCTAAAATTAACTTTTCTTAATAGGTTTTAATCATATGTCAAATGGCTTTGATACTTCTTAATGGGTTTTAATCATATGACAAATGACTCTGATACCATATATAAACCTTGTGTGGTTATATAATTAAAACACAAAATAAAGAGTTGGCTAGCCTGATCATGAAGCGATAGCCATTGGAGACCAAGCGAATAGTATGTAGGTTGCGGCAACACCAAAATCTTCTACAAAACACCTAGCTGGATACAATTAATTTATGAGAAGCGTTTGTTGTGTGTCTAGGGTTTGCAGGTATAATCAAGGACTCTATCAATCTTATTTGTATTACAAGACATCTAATATAAAATTGATATCTTAAGAGATCAAATCACAATATCTACATTAATATCCAATATTACATTCCTATTATATGTTGTAGACCATTTAAGGTTGATTTATATTAGAATAAATCCAACATGTAAACCATATGAGCTGTTATGAATTCAACTATTGTTGCATGCTTATTCTCTCTGTCGGCTATGCTGTCATTTTTGTATTTTCACTTTTGTTTAATCAATATTTCTGCATATTGAAACTGGTTTTTAACTATGTTTATTTCCGTGTTTATATAATATAATATTTTGGTCGGATTTTGTTATCTTTTTTACCCTCCATTCGAGGGAATGAATCTATGTCTTCTGCTAACTCTCTCTTTTTACTTCCCCTCAGCGATGTGGGACAATCAACAATCTCATCCTCTAATAGTTTTTACCATGGTGGATTGGAAGAGGACTTAAATGGTTCGTTTCGAAAACTCCGATCTTTTGTTAGATCCCTACGTTTTTCCCATTTCTGGGCACCTTTAGTTGAATAACTCCCACAAGAATTCATTTCCTCTTTTAAATTTTATTTCCTTTTGTGTTGTGATTAGCTGGCCACAGTGAAGTAATAATTCAATAAGTTTTCTGATTTAACCAAGGACCAACGTGCATTCGAATCTTTTATCAGGTTAGAATTTGAGTTCCGTTTTTATAGCCGTATTTCGAAGGTTTGGGTGGCAGAGGGATTGAGGCAGAGGAGAGCCATGGTGAAGTTCTTGTGGGTTGGCATTGTGGCAGCACTTGTTTCCAGAGTTCGGGCTGATGGGTTTGTGGAGAACAGTATCAATGAGGCGGTGCCGCCTTTGTGGGAGGAGACCTATGGAAGCTCCAAGGCTGCAAATGACATATTGATGGTAGGGCTAACCCTCGTCGAAGGAGCTGCTGCTAAAGGAGCAGGTATGTCATACATTGATGTACTCTAAAACTTTCACAGTTCATAAATTCTTATTCATTCTAATGCTTGTTATCTAAGTTCTGTCTCCTTTTTTTGGGCTACATTACATCCTTGTGAATTTGGCTCTTGCAGTATGCTTGGATGGAACAGTTCCAGCGTATCATTTGCACCGCGGATATGGATCGGGGGTGAATAGTTGGCTCATTAAGTTTCAGGTTTGTGAGACTAATCAGAAAATTAACGCTATAGGGATAATTACATCATATAGATGGTTCCAGGAAACTCACACTTCAGAGCATGTTGTGAGGCTGAAGTTATCAGATGACAAGTTCACGTTTTCTCTTAGTTGATTGGTCACCAAGTAGCCTGCTTGATTCCTTATTGATGCAGGGAGGAGCATGGTGTAATGATACCAGAAGCTGCTCTGACCGCAAACTTACACCATTTGGATCATCAACGCGCATGGAAACAAAGATGCCATTTTCTGGAATACTAAGCAATCAATCTGAACAAAATCCTGGTTTTCGATCACAAACTTAAAGGATCTGATTTTTTTTTCTTTTTTTCTTTCTAGTTTAGCTGTTTTAGTCGACCGCACTTAGTGGGAAAAGGCTTTGTTGTTGTTGTTGTTGTTGTTGTTGTTGCTGCTAGTTTAGCTGTTTTGATCCTTATCATATCTGGGATTGCAGAGTTTTTCAACTGGAATAGAGTACTGCTTCGCTATTGTGACGGCGCTTCATTTTCTGGGGACAGCGAAAATAAGGTCTGGCAGAAGTTCTTGCCATTTGCATTTTTTGCACAAAATAGTGATTGTGACCATAATATGGAAGGGACCCTAAATATTTCTATACATTTCATGTACATCAGATGCTAACATATAGTGATTCTGCATTTTAGAAAGAACATCTGCAATATAGGGGACAGCGGATATGGTTGTCTGCAATGGAAGATTTGATGTCAAAGGGCATGTGCGACGCCAATCAGGTACAACATATTTTATCATCCTCAAGATCTATTCTTGTTCCCATGTTATGGCTCTTCTTGCAACGTATTAATCAATCATACATTAGGCTCTTCTTTTTGGTTGCTCTTCCGGCGGTCTGTCATCTATTCTGCACTGTGATGAATTTCGGGGCTTATTTCCCACAACTACAAAAGTGAAGTGCTTGAGTGATGGTGGATTTTTTATTGACGCGTGAGTAGTACTATCTATAATGCCTTTACTCTTTTTCTGCATTATTTACATGTAGACATGTACTTACTAGCTAGTTATAATCACTTTGATTTTGATCGGTGACATTGTATGGAATTGTAGAGTTGACATCTCCGGTGGACACACACTCAGGAATATTTATACCGGTGTTGTAAGCTTGCAGGTAAATATGTTATTAACTTGAAATTTGTTGTTCTAAAATCCTGGCAACATTTTAAGGAATTCTAACGTGCGCTTATGTAAATTCCCTTGATTATCACAGGGGGTGCGAGAAAATCTGCCGCGATTCTGTACTAGTCACCTTGACCCTACTTCGGTAATCAATTTTTTTCCTCTTGCAGTTTTCAATTTGAAGATAGGTGGTAGCATAATAAGTTGTGCACTACTTCTTGCCTTGCAGTGCTTCTTTCCTGAGAACTTAATCGCGAACATTACAACCCCACTCTTTATACTCAATTCAGCATATGATTCATGGCAGGTAATTGTTCATTATTCATTTTAATGTCTTAATTGAGATTTACTTAAGGATTTTTACTGAAAAAAATTCATTTCATTGTATTTTCCCACTTGAAATCAGATCTATAACAGTTTAGCTCCACCATCAGCAGATCCCCATGGTGAGTGGAACAGTTGCAGATTAAACCTTGCAAGTTGTTCAGCATCACAGATGCAAATTCTGCAAGGTGAAATCCCACAAACAAGGAATCTTTTTTTACGGTTAAATCTTGCAGAAGCTTAAGAATTTCAGAAACAAACTGTGTAACTATTGTGACATTATATTTCTGGAATGGAACAGGATTCAGGAATCAAATGCTGAATGCAGTAAAACAATTTTCGGTGTCTAATCAAACTGGGATGTTCATAAATTCGTGTTTTGCGCACTGTCAAACGGGGCAAAGTGAATGGTTTTCACATGATTCTCCAGCTGTTGGAAACAAGGTGAGCCTGTAATAACTACCAACACACACAAACAGAAACAGAAACACATGCATTATATGTAGGGCTCAGAGTTTGAAGATATCTAAAGTTACTAATGTGACGGATTATTGCAGACAATTGCAGAAGCTGTCGGAGATTGGTATTTTGATCGAGCGGAGGTTAAGGTTGTTGATGAAACTTGCCGCCATCTGGCTTTCGAATGAGCATTGTTTGATCGATTATTTACATGGTAATTGTATCGTGTTGTCTGCACTATAATACTATCCCTTCTGCTTAATGAAATAACTAATAACCGAAATCAATAGAATTCTATTATCAAAGTTCAAAAAACAAATGAATGAATTGAATAGAAAACGGTAAAACATATGACTAAGGAGAATGCCAACGCATTGTTCAACGAGCGCCTGCAGATGATTGAAGAATATTCTCATTCTTCCATGGTGAGAATAATGATTAGTGTGGTGATACCTGATTCCTTGTCTCCAACACAGTCAATCTCCGATCATGGTCTGGACACAATTTCCCCCTACTCTACGGGGCACAAAATTCAAGCAGTGTACCTGGAAGTATGATGATATTTATCGTTGGATGCGTATACATGGCCGTTGTCATGTAGTTCATGTACTTGTTTCAGGGGTGATTTGTATTTTTACATAACCATAATCCATATATGTATTTTGTATACCAAATGTATAGAGAAAATGGGGCCAATTCTTAAACAGAATCCGTTCGTCTGTAGCTGGAGCAGGATCCGATATTGCAAAATTAAGAAGAGACGTATCTCAGTAAAGTAGGCACAATCAAATCTCCATTATCCCAGTTAAGTATCTCTTCCTAATTAAGTGGGATCCATGTCGACAACTTCTCCGCAACTACTGTATTAGTATGCATATCGTTGACGATATGTAGTCCATGTTGATGCCAATCCAGCTACAATTCAGCGGGATCCCGCCATAGAGAAAATTAACCCTGAAAAATATCTGAAGATTGATAGGAGTTTGATTGTCTTGTTTATCAAAAACAGTCTGATTTAGTATAATTTTGTTGTTGGGACGTCTGGAGCTGAGTGAAAAAGCTGAATCCTATTAAAAGATGAGTAAGATTTAATCAAGGATTAACGTACATTACCAACCTTTCCGATTTAGGATTTGAGCTTCGTTTTCCTAGCCATGATTTCAAAGGTTTGAGTGGGGGAGAGATTGAGACAGAGAAGAGCCATGTAGAAGTTCTTGTGTGTAGGCATTGTGACTGCACTTGTCTTCATGAGGGGGCACCGCCTTTGTTGAAGACCTATGGAGGAACCTCCAAGGCTGTAAATGGCATACTGATGGTAGGGCCAACCCTCATCGAAGGAGCTGCTGCCAAAGGAGCAGGTATGCATGCACTGATGCATTCAAGAAAATTTGCAGTTCTTTTTCTTAAAGTTTTCTTATACAACTATATATAAAGAATTTTCACAGTTCTTAGCCCTTGCTCCTTAATGATAGTTAATTCTTGTTATTTTGAGTAATGTCTCATTGTTATTTTGGTGAATTTCGCTCTTTTAGTCTGCTTGGATGGAACAGTACCTGCTTATCATTTGCATCGTGGATATGGATCAGGGGCGAATAGTTGGCTCATTCGCCTTGATGCAGTGCATGAGGAACAAATATATTTAAGGCTTTAGTGACTTCATCTCTCAAAACCTTCTCTTTTAATTGGATTGCCTAGTAACTATCCTACTCTTAAATATTTAGTATACCAATGCTTTGTAATTTCCCTATTTAAAGGGCTCCATATGTATTCTTAAAGTAGGAAATTGAGTGAATTATATTTAATCCAAGAAGAAAGTGAGTTTCTCCTTCCTACAAGCATTTGGCTTCATCGTGTTGAGCGAATCCACAATTAGCGACGTGAGTAATTCCGTTGCCCCTGATCAAGTGATTCCCAGGTTATATCCTCGTAGCAACGTCGAGCGAGTTCTGTTGCCCTGGTTGAGTGATTCCCAGGTTACTACCCCTTGTCTTTTCGAGACCCTTGGTCTTTTTTGCATCAAGTGGTATCAGAGCAGGTTTTTCGCTGCAGTTGAAGACTATGGTTGTGATTACAATTTGTTGGAAGAGCACACTGTCGAAGAAATCAGTTTTGTCAATTGGAATTCCCCACCAATTTATGATGAGTATGTTGATGATGATGACGACCTCAAAAAGAACTTTTTTGATGGGTGTTCTCTACTAATTTATGGCGAGCAAGATGAAGATTACAAGGTTATGTTTACGATGGTTATCCATCAGTGTTGTTTACAACTTGAAGTCGGTGCCAATCCTGCTCCAATTTTTTATGAATACTGCTACAGTGACAAAGGAATGAGTTCATATGTGAAAGAACAATGTGTGCATCATCATAATTAAAGAAGTAATATTTGACCTTGATACCCATTATATATGTGACTACATTTGGGAATCCTTTATTGCTTTCCACAGTAGAAAAATATACTTGGAGCAAAGCATTTTTCCAAGTCATCAATATCAAATGGAAATCTAGAAGATTGATGAGCATTTTTCAAAAGACATTGTTGCTATCAAGAAACGGTTAAAGGGTGCACAGAACTTGAGAAAGTTTTGGAAAGCAAAATACTTGGAATATTCTATTATTTGGATTTGCTCATGAAATTGGAAATTTTTGATGCTAAATTGGCTATTGTGGAACATACTAGGCGGACATCCGAAAGATTGAGGAAAGACCAACGTACACTCGAGGGCGAGTTTTTTTTTTTGAGAAGAGGAGAATGATATCAGTGCATGAGGGACAAATATATTTAAGGCTTTAGTGACTTCTCATCTCTCAAAACCTTTGTTAATTACCTTCTCTTTTAATTGGATTGCCTAGTAACTATCATACTCTTAAATATTTAGTATACTAGTGCTTTGTAATTTTCCTAGATAAAGGGTTCCATATCATATGTATCCTTAAAGTAGTCAATTAGTGAATTAAAATTAATCCAAGAAGAGAGTGAGTTTCTCCTTCCTTAAATCAAGTGTGAGGCTTGGTCTTGTTGAGCGAATCCATGATTAGCAACATGAGTGATTATGTTGCTCCTGGTTGAGTGATTCCCAAGTTACTACCCCTTGTCTTTTCGAGACCCTTGGTCTTTTCTGCGTCACACCTTCAGGTTTGTGAGAAGAAACTCACTTCAAAGCTTATTGTGACTGAAATGATCGGATAACAAGTTCATCTTTCCTTTTAGTTATACTCTCTCTCTATCTCTCTCTCTCTCTCTCTCTTTCTCTCTCTCTCTCTCAATACACACACACACAGAGCAGAGTCGTTTTAGTTGATTGATCACCAAGCAAGCATCTCAAGTTCTTTTTGTGGCAGGGAGGAGCGTGGTGAAACGACATCAGAAGTTGTTCTAACCGAAATTATTCAGCGTATGGGTCATCAGCACGCATGGAAACAGAGATAGTATTTGAAGAAAGTTGGGATTCCACCATAAAACTAAAGGGTGACGTGGAGTGCGTGTGGCCTCTTGGCTTCACACGTGGGACAACCTGATACCATGAAGAAAGTTGGAGTTCCACCATAAAACTAATTTGTAATATAGGGAGTAGCCCAACCTCTTATAAGCCCATGCAAGGTTGCTCCTTCCATCAATGTGCAACTCATTCTCAACAGCATTTACGGGAATACTAAGCAACGCAGCTGAAAAGAATCCAGGTTTTCTCATCAAACATAATACTCAATTGCTAAACCGATACCTGCATTTCATTTTTTTCTGTCTTGATCCTTATCATGTTTAGGAATGGGATTGCATATTTTTTTTCAACTGGAATAGAGTATTGCTTCGCTATTGTGACGGCGCTTCTTTCTTGGGGACAGCGAAAATCAGGTGGGTATTCCATTCTTGCCATTTTACACTTCTCCGGAATATAGTGGTAGTGATTACAGCTGTGCTGCAAGACAAAAGGTGAGCAATAAAGATAAAAGCTTAGGATCTCTCATCCAGCTACCGGAATCAAAATTGAATTACTTGTATAGGAAGGTACCTTAAGTATCTGTTTATATACGTAAATGTGAAGCTAAAATATAACGATTCTGCTTGTAGGAAAAAAAAAAACTGCAATTTAGAGGACAGTGAATAGGGTTGTCTGCAATGGAAGATTAGATGTCCAATGGCATGCGCGATGCAAATGAGGTATAACATTTCTTCTTGCTCAAAGATGAATTCTTGTTTCCATGTTATGACACTTCTTGCAACATCTTCCTTCATCATACATTAGGCTCTTCTTTCTGGTGTCTCTGCCGGCGGTCTGTCATCCATTTTACACTGTGATGAGTTTCGGGGCTTATTTCCCACAGCTACAAAAGTGAAGTGCCTGAGTTATGGTGGATTTTTTCTCGACGCGTGAGTACTACTATCCGTTATGCCGGCACAGTCCTAGCAAGGTTTTTTTTCCTTTTCCTGTCAATGTTCCTAGATAATTATTAACACTTCAAATTTATTGAAGATATCCTGTTTGAAATTTTAGGGTTGATGTTTCCGGTGGACGCGAACTCAGGGATCACTATAGTGATGTTGTAGGCTTGCAGGGGGTGCAAGAAAATCTGCCGTGATTCTGTAGCTAGTCACCTCGATCCTACTTCGGTAATCAAGTTTTTTTTTCCTCTTGCAGTAATTGATTTGAAAATAGTGGTAGCATAAAATAAGTTGTGCACTACTTCTTGCTTGACAGTGCTTTTCCCTGAAAATTTTATCGCGAACATTACAACCACGCTATTTATACTCAATTCAGCATATGATTCATGGCACGTAATTGTTCATTGTCTTTAATAAGGTCTAACTTCACAATTACTAGATGAAGTTTAATGAAATAATGCATTGAGCTGTATTTTCCCACTTAAAATCAGATGCCATACAGTTTAGCTCCACCATCAGCAGATCCCCGTGGCGAATGGAAGAGTTGCAGATTAAACCCTTCTAGTCGTTCTGCATCGTTGATGGAAATTCTGAAAGGTGAAATCCCACATATCAGATGAACTGTTCCAGCACAGAAGAAAGACACACACATAGGATGAATCTAATGTTATTATGTGCTCTGGATTATTGCAGACAATAGCAGAAGCTGTTGGAGAATGGTTTTTCGACCGAGCAGATGTTAGCGTTGTCGATGAAACTTGCCGCCATCTGGCCCTCGGATGAACATAGTCTACACTACAGTACTAACCTAACTACTTCTTAATGAAATAATTTGTAGTGCAATTGATATCTCAATAGAACTACAAAGAACAAAATTGGATAGAAGACAGTAAAACATATGGCTAATGAGAAGGGAAGATTTGGTGTTATGTTAAATCCATTTAACACAATATGCAAGAAAAATATTTGCTTAATTAACAATAAAAATTTATGAGAACTTTAACGAAAAGCTTCTGGTACTGTTTACTTTAACGAAAAATCATATTTTTACACTAAAAAGTCAATCATGGTACTATTCACTTTACCCTTTATTTTGTCCTTATCGTTAATACTCAAAGTTTTCAACCTCTTTTCATTAGTTTTCCTAAAATTTATTCGTTGAAAAATGGTTAATTACACGATGTGTAGTTTAGGGCACCTAAAATGTTGATCTATGCTCAAAAAGTTTTTAACTCAGATGGCTAAGAACATTCACTTTTGCATGAGATTCCATGTTTGAGTACCCATCACACATATCGCTTGTATAACAGAAAAAAACATGTTGATCCATGTCGTTTGAAAATTACCAAAAAGAAATCTTAAAGTTACGTATTCTTTAACTGTTGGTCCGTCCGGCCAGTCTGATGCTAGGTATACATATATTTTTCAAACCTAGCACTCAATGGGCTTTTCTTTTTCTATTTTTTTGCTTACATACACGAAATGTGGATTCATATATGCAATGGACAATAATTTCGTGCAAAGAAAATGTTAACTCATAGATGAAAAATGGACGGCAGGAGAGAAAAAATAGTGTAACAATTTTTGCAAAATTTTAAGCAAATTCAAACATGCCTTAAATCACCATCTAACAGTCGAGATGATAATTGTGTTAAATACATGCATTAATGATGATCCATAATTCATGTAAATCTCACTTAGATAAGTATGGTCTAGAGAGATCGTCAATAAATATGCTACAAATGGCATTATACAATGTATAACATTTTTATTGTTCAAACTCTTCAACGTACCTGCAACATTTTTTATAACCGTCATACAGATACATAGGGTTATTTATTTTATTTTATTTTATTTTATTTATTTTTAATTAATTCAAAACTCTACATTCCCACCGTCTATATTCTTATTCTTTGCAATTAAGCGAATGGGTTTTCAAATTGTCTTGTTCCTTCACCTCACTTTTTGTCACTTCCCCTACTTCAAGTCACTGCTATTCTTTTTTTAATTAATGGCCTCCACCACGTCTCGGGCTCGATTCTACTGTAGCACAATATTGTCCGCTTTAGGACCCGACCACGCCTTCACAGTTTTGTTTTTGGAAACTCACACGAATAGAACTTCCCAGTGGGTCACCCATCATAAGATTGCTCTCGTTCGAACTCGCTTAACTTCCGAGTTCCGATGGAACCCGAAGCCATTGAGCTCGAAAAAGGCCTCGTGTTATATGGAGGTGGACATGTATATATAAGGCATAGAGGATCTACTCCCCTGGACGATGTGGGATCTAACATTTATACTTTGTTTTAAGGTAAAATAAAGACATGCAAATGACAGAAAGAAAAACAACACAGAACAACAAAGGGTGGCAAGTTAGCATGTGCAAATATTGGAGTCATCTTTCTACTTAATTATATTGATTCAATTGTTACTAATTATTGCACATAATTTGGTACTATTTTTGTGATGACTGCTACTAGCTAGCCACCATTATTAATGTGACCCCTCTACAATTGAACAAGTTAAAATTAGCTTCATTGCGTAGGTTAACTAAGTCCCCCCCCCCCCTACATTTTTTTTCCACAATATATTTAATATAACATCATGTATCTAACACTTGAATAAATTGTATTTATAGGACAAGATATTTAATATAAAATCACACTTGAATAAATTGTATTTATAGGACAAGTAAATGATAGGTTTTGTTTGGTTTGAAGAACAAGACTCTCGTATTTATGTTAGTAATGAAATTCTCGTGCTTATTTTAGGAACGCAACTCTTGTGTTCATGTTATGAATGAAATTCTCGTGCTTATATTAAGAACACAACTCTCGTGTTCATGAAGGAATGAAACTCTCGTGTTTATATATAAAAAAATGGACTAAGTGGTATCGATTTGGCATCCATGTAAACAAAAAAAATAGGCTCAATGAGTGCCCTATTAAAAAAAACATGAATTAATAAACTTGATAGTTTGACCGCCGGAGAGAAAAAATAGTGTAACAGTTTTTGCAAATTTTTAAATCAAATTTTTAAAGCAAAATTTTAAACTACAAGGGTGCAAAGCTGCAGAGGATTTTCTTGCCAGTTTCACAAAGCTAAAATTGAAATGTCAAATTCCCATGGAAAAAAAACATTTCATAAAGATGGCTCAGAGCGCTCTTAGATTGCCACTAAGGATGAAGATCGATGATATACAATTCAGAGACTTTACTGAACAAGCAGACCGTGGTTGTTGCCGGTTTTTCTTGTAGTGATTTGGCATCAGAGTTTACTGATTGTCAAAGTTTCAGAGATAAGGTCAATCGTCCAACACTGATATATGTTGTCCCCAGCTTAACTGCTAGCCCAGTAGGAATAAGATTTTATTCTAAAAGGTACGTATCAGTATAATTAGGAATAGAACCATGTTTGTAATATTAAGTTGTAAATTGTTTTGTCAAATTCCCGATGTCGGATTTCCAACCACAATCAAATTACAAACAATCTTCAATGTTGAACTTTTGATTGATATTTTTCAAAATAATTTGATTGTTCTGATGGTTTTTGTGTTAGAAAGACCGCCCACTGACTTGGGAAGCACTGATCTATATATTGGACTTGTGGAGTAAGTTGCGTAAACTTTGAGGCCAAAGAAAGAGGGGACGTTTTTTGGAAGTAATCTTTGCTTTGAAGCATTATTCACATCCCCTAACAGTGTTGTTTTTGGCAGCAATAAGAAGAAGAAGAACGAAATCTCCAGTCCAGGAGTCTGCTTGTTTACCGTGGTGCTGGAGAAAGGAATTAGATTTTTCCTTTCGAAATCAAACACTCCATACTTTTGTTAAATTTAGGAAAATATGAAGTCATATTTAGTTGAGTTATTCCCACAAGAATTTACTTCCTCTTTTTTCAATATATTTCCTTTTTATGATATGATAAGTTGGGTAGAATGGAGTAAGAATTTAAAAAATCTCATTTTGGTAAACTAATGCTCATGCACGTCTGGAGCTGTGAAAAATTGATTCCCAGGAAAATATGTTTCAGATTTAACTAAGGAGTAACGTACATACATTTGAATCCTATCCGTTTCATTAGGATTCAAGTTTCGTTTTTGTATAGCTAAGTTTTTGAGGTCTTGGGTGGCGGATAGATTGGAGAGAGCCATGGTGAACTTCTTTTGGGTTGGCTTTGTACCAGCACTTGTTTTCAGAACTTGGGTTGATAGGTTTGTGGAAGAGAAGAGTCTTGATGCGACGGTGCCTTCTTTGTTGGAGACCTATGGGAGCTCCAAGTCTGCAAATGACATACTCATGGTAGAGATAACACTCGTCGAAGGAGCTGCTGCCCAAGGAGCAGGTATGACATATATTGACGTACTCTAAAATTCACGGTTCTTAATTATTCCTTTATTTGTTTTAATTAATCTACTTTGCAGTCTGCCTGGATGGAACAGTACCTGCTTATCATTTGCATCGTGGATATGGATCAGGGGTGAACAGTTGGCTCATTGACCTTCAGGTTGGTAAGATAGTTTGAGGAAAATCAAAAAGTTCATGTTGCCATTTAGTTATTGTCTTAGGGACTGCTTGATGCCTTTTACTTGCTTGATTGCCAAGCAACCCTCTCAAGTCCTTTCTGATGCAGGGAGGAGCATGGTGTAATGACACCAAAAGTTGTTCTAACCGCAAATTTTCAGCGTATGGATCATCAGCACACATGGAAAAAGAGAGAGCATTTTCTGGAATACTAAGCAATAAATCTGAAGAAAATCCCGGTTTTCTCCTCATACTTAACGCTCCAGTGTTTAAGGCAGATACCTGCATCTGCTTTTTTCTTTTTCTGTTTTTTGGTTTAGCCGTCTTAACCATTATCATGTAAGGGACTGCAGAGTTTTTCAACTGGAATAGAGTAGAACTTCGCTATTGTGATGGCGCTTCATTTTCTGGGGACAGTGAAAATCAGGTTGGTGGAATGTTCTTGCCATTTACCTTTTTCCACAAAATTATGATAGTGATTATAGTAGTAGTGCTGCAGCTATTGGAATAAAAAGTTGACTTCCTTGTATCGGAAGGTACCTTATGTATTTCTATCCGTAAGTGCAAATCAGAAGCTAAAATATAGTGATTCTTCTGTTAGGAAGCACAACTGCAATTTAGAGGACAGCGTATATGGTTATCTGCAATGGACGATTTGATGTCAAAGGGAATGCGCAACGCGAATCATGTACAACATTTATTCATGCTAAAGTTATAATCCTGTTCCAGTGTTAAGCCACTTCTCAAAGCATATTAATCCATCGTACATTAGGCTCTTCTTTCTGGTTGCTCTGCCGGTGGTCTGTCATCCATTTTGCACTGTGATGAGTTTCAGAGCTTGTTTCCCACAACTACAAAAGTGAAGTGCCTGAGTGATGCTGGATTTTTTCTCGACACGTGAGTACTATATCCGTAACGTCCTTTCCCTTTATCAATATTCCTATCTAATTATCAACACTTGAAATTTTATTGGTGATCCTGTATGGAATTGTAGGGTTGATATTTCTGGTGGACGCACACTCAGGGATTATTATAGTGGTGTTGTAAGCTTGCAGGGGGTGGAAGAAAATCTGCCGCGATTCTGTACTAGTCACCTCGACCCTACTTCGGTAATCAATTTTTGTGCACTTTTAAATTTGAAAATAGGTGATAGCATAATAAGTTTTACACTACTTCTTGCTTTGCAGTGCTTCTTTCCTGAGAACTTAATCGCGAACATTACAACCCCGCTCTTTATACTCAATGCAGCATATGATTCATGGCAGGTAATTTTTCATTATTCATTTTAATGTCTTAATTGAGAGTTACCGAAAGGACTTTTACTGAAAAAAAAATTCATTGCATTGTATAACAGTTTAGCTCCACCATCAGCAGATCCCCGAGGCGAGTGGAACAGTTGCAGATTAAACCTTGCAAGTTGTTCGGCATCACAGATGCAAATTCTGCAAGGTGAAATCCCACAAACAAGGAATTTTTTCGACTCCTAAATCTTGCAGAAGCATCAGAATTTCAGAAACAAATTGTGTCACTATTGTGACGTTATTTTTCTGGAATGGAACAGGATTCAGGAATCAAATGCTGAATGCAGTAAAACAATTCTCGGTGTCTAATCAAACTGGGATGTTCATAAATTCGTGTTTCGCGCACTGTCAAACGGGGCAAAGTGCATGGTCTGCTCATGATTCTCCAGCTGTTGGAAACAAGGTGAGCCTGTTTTAACTACCAACACACAAAAACAGAATCAGAAACACATGCATTATATGTAGGGATAAGAGTTTGAAGATATCTAAAGTTATTAATGTGACGGATTATTGCAGACAATTGCAGAAGCTGTTGGAGATTGGTATTTTGATAGAGCAGAGGTTAAGGTTGTTGATGAAACCTGCCACCATCTGGCTCTCGAGTGAGCATTGTTTGATCGATTATTTACATGGTCATTGTATTGAGTTGTCGGTACTATAATGCTATCCCTTCTGGTTAATGAAATAACTTTGTAATAATTGGAGTCGATAGGATTCTATTATCAAAGTTCAAAGAACAAAAAAACAAATGAAAGAATTGGGGAGAAAACGGTAAAGCATATGGCTAATGAGAATGCCAACTCATTGTACAACGAGTGCCTGCAGACGATTGAAGAATATGCCTGCAGATGACTGAAGAATATTCTCTTTCTTCATTGGTGACAATGGTGAGTAGTGTGGTGATACCGGATTCCTTGTCTGGACGATGAATTGGGTCCTTGTCTCCTACACAGTCAATCTCTGGTCATGGTCTGGACTCTGGACACGATTTCCCCCTACTCCTCCGGACACAAATTCAAGCAGTGTACTTGGAAGTATGATGATATTTATTGTTGGATACGTATACATGGCCTTTGTCATCTAGTTGATGTACATGTTTCAGGGGTAATTTGTATACCAAATGTATAGAGAAAATTGGGCCAATTAGTAAGCAGAATCCGTTCATCTGTAGTTGGAGCAGGATCTGCTCTCACAACATTAAGAAGAGACGTACCCCAGTGAAGTAGGCACAATCAAATCTTCATTGTCCCAATTAAGTGTCTCTTCATAATTAAGCTGGATCCATGTCGATAACATCTCCACAACTACTGTATTACTATGCATATCGTTGACGATATGTTGTCCATGTTGATACCAATCCAGCTACAATGCAGCGGGATCCCATCATTGAGAAAATTAACTCCGAAAAATATCTGAAGATCGATAGGAATTTGATTGTCTTGTTTATCAAAATCAGTGTGATTGTTACATACACGACTTGGAAAACACTGTGTCCCTTATAAACTACTAACACCCTTAGTTGTGTGGATTGGAAAGGCCTTGAATTGTTCGTTCCGAAAACTTCAAGCTTTTGTTAGATTTAAGAAATCAATCCATGCTGCCATTTCATCTTACTTTTCCCATTTATGGCCAGCTTTAGTTGATTTACTCCCACAACAATTCATTTCCTCTTTTAAAGTTTATTTCCATGTTATGATAAGTTAAGTAGAATGGAGTAACAAATTGAAAAAACTCTGATTTAGTATAATTTTGTTGTTGGGGCGTCCGGTGCTGAGTGAAAAAAACTGAATCCTATTAAAAGATGTGTAAGATTCAATCAAGGATTAATGTACATTCTAATCCTTTCCGGTTTAGGATTTGAGTTTCGTTTTTATAGCTATGATTACGAAGGTTTGAGTGGCGGAGAGATTGAGGCAGAGGAGAGCCATGGTGAAGTTCTTGTGTGTAGGCATTGTGACAGTACTTGTTTTCATAATTTGGGCCAAAGGGTGTGCGGAGAAGAGTCTCAATGAGGTGGTACCGCCTTTGTTGAAGACCTATGGAGGAACCTCCAAGGCTGCAAATGGCATACTGATGGTAGGGCTAACCCTCATCGAAGGAGCTGCTGCCAAAGGAGGTATGCCATGCACTGATGCACTCAAGAAAATTCGCAGTTTTTTTTTTTTTTTTTTTTTTTTTTTTGAGTTTTCTTATACAATGATATATATCGAATTTTCACAGTTCTTAGTCATTGCTCCTTAATGATAGTTAATTCTTGTTATTTTGAGTAATGTCTCATTGTTATGTTGGTGAATTTTGCTCTTTTAGTCTGCTTGGATGGAACAGTACCTGCTTATCATTTGCATCGTGGATATGGATTGGGGGCGAATAGTTGGCTCATTCACCTTCAGGTTTGTGAGAAGAAACTTACACTTCAGAGCATGTTGTGACTGAAATGATCAGATAACAAGTTCATCTTTCCTTTTAGTTATACTCTCTCTCTCTCTCTCTACTGCATAGTCCTTTTAGTTGATTGATCACCAAACAAGCATCTCAAGTTCTTTTTGTGGCAGGGAGGAGCGCGGTGTAATGACATCAGAAGTTGCACTAACCGTAAGTATTCAGCGTATGGATCATCAACACGCATGGAAACAGAGATATCATTTACGGGAATACTAAGCAACGCAGCAGAAAAGAACCCAGGTTTTCTCCTCAAACATAATACTCAGTTGTTAAACCGATGCGTGCATCTCCTTTTTTCTGTCTTGATCCTTATCATGCTTAGGAATGGGATTGCAGATTTTTTCAACTGGAATAGAGTATTGCTTCGCTATTGTGACGGCGCTTCTTTTCTTGGGGACAGCGAAAACCAGGTGGGTATTCGATTCTTGCAATTTACATTTCTTCATAATATAGTGGTAGTGATTATAGTTCTGCTGCAAGACAAAAGGTGAGCAATAAAGATAAAAGCTTAGGATCTCACATCCAGCTACCGGAATCTAATTGGCTTACTTGTATAGGAAGGTACCTTACCTTTCTGTTTATATGCGTAAATGTGAAGCTAAAATATAATGATTCTGCTCGTAGGAAAGAAAACTGCAATTTAGAGGACAGCGAATATGGTTGTCTGCAATGGAAGATTTGATGTCCAAGGGCATGCGCGATGCAAATGAGGTATAAAATTTCTTCTTGATCGTAGATCATTTCTTGTTCCCATGTTATGACAGTTCTTGCAACATCTTCCTTCATCATACATTAGGCTCTTCTTTCTGGTGTCTCTGCCGGCGGTCTGTTATCCATTTTGCACTGTGATGAGTTTCGGGGCTTATTTCTCACAGCTACAAAAGTGAAGTGCCTGAGTGATGGTGGATTTTTTCTCGACGAGTGAGTACTACTCTCCGTTATGCCCTTTCTTTTAGCAGCATTGTCAATATGCAGGCATGTTCCTAGCTTCTTGTTTTTTTCCTTTTCCTGTCAATGTTCCTAGATAATTAATAACACTTCAAAACTTATTGAAGATATCCTGTTTGAAATTTTAGGTTTGATGTTTCCGGTGAACGCGCACTTAGGGATCACTATAGTGGTGTTGTAGGCTTGCAAATTTTTTTTTCTCTTGCAGTAATTGATCTAAAACTCCGCATGTGTAAGTTTATCTTACATTGCCGGTCCCAAGCCTGGGTAAAGAAGGAGGGGGAAGGCATCAGGTAGTCGACAGCCGGCACTCCTCAGTTACGTCGAATCCTTATGAAAATGAATCCAGAACGAAATCGCGCTAAAGCTAGGGCGTCATCCGTAAGTGGCGCGCTGTGTGGCCCGAGCACAGTGATAAGTGAGCAAGGGTCGCTGTATCTCCATCGGCACCCGGATGCAGTGTTAAATGAGCAAGGGGGCCATAGAAACTTCTTTTCGAACGACTCCACTCAAAGTTGTTTGGGAGCATATGCTCCTATCAACTTTACACAGGACACACAAAAGAAGTACTTTGATCCTATTGGACGGAGAAGGGTGAAGAAGCTAGGATAGAAGGGTAGAGTTCAAGAGAGTAGAATGCGTTTAGGAACGTGGAATATAGGAACCTTAACGGGAAAATTTATGGAAGTAGTGGAAGTTATGGTGAGGAGAAGGATAAATATTATGTGCCTACAAGCAACTAAGTGGGTTGGTCTTAAGGCAAATGATCTAGAAAACTCAGGGTTTAAACTTTGGTATTCGGGCACAAATAGAACGAGAAACGGTGTTGGCATCATCGTGGACAAGACCTTGACACAAGATGTTGTAGATGTCAAGAGGGTAAGAGATAGAATCATGGCAATCAAGATTGTAATAGGACAAGAACTCATCAATGTGATTAGTGCGTACGCACCTCAAGTAGGGTTGGATACGAGTTCGAAGGAGAAATTTTGGGAAGACCTTGGAAACTTGGTGCAAGGAATTGCCCAGACGGAGAAGTTATTTATAGGATGAGATTTAAATGGACACGTGGGCAGGGAGACAGACAACTATGGAGGTTTTCATGGTGGCCATGGTTTTGGGGAGAGAAACGAGGATGGGGGAGCTATCTTGGATTTTGCAATGGCATATGATCTCTTCTTAGCCAACACCTTCTTTAATAAGAGAGAAGAACATACGATCACCTACAAGAGTGGGTCGTCAAAAACACAAATAGATTTTCTTCTAATGAGGAAAGGGGATCGTATAACTTGTAAGGATTGCAAAGTTATACCGGGAGAGAACTTGGCTAATCAACATCGCTTGTTGGTGATGGATGTACATATCAAAAGAGTGAGAAAAAAGAACAAGACTTGGAAGTGCCCAAGGACTAGATGGTGGATTCTAAAAGGAGAAAAACAGGTCATTTTCAAAGATAAAGTAATCACCCAGTGTGGGTGGGATAGAGAGGGGGAAGATAGCCAAAGGTGGGATTCCATGGCTAGTTGTATCCGAAAAGTAGCAAAAGAGGTATTAGGAAAGTCCAAGGGCTTTGCTCCACACCAAAAGGAATCTTGGTGATGGAATAAGGAGGTACAAATAAAGGTGAAGGCTGAGAAGGAATGTTGTAAAGCCTTATACAAGGACAAGACCGATGAAAATGGTGAAAGGTATAGAAGAGTGAGGTAAGAGGCTAAGAAAGCTGTGAGAGAAGCTAAGTTAGCGGCTTATGACGACATGTATAAGCGACTAGATACCAAAGAATGAGAGTTGGATATCTATAAACTAGCTAGAGCAAGGGAAAAGAAGACAAGGGACCTAAACCAAGTGAGGTGCATCAAGGATGAGGATGGAAAGGTTCTTGCTACAGAGAACGCGGTCAAAGACAGATGGAGAGGTTATTTTCATAATCTTTTCAATGAAAGACATGAAAGGAGTACTTCTTTAGGGGAGTTGAGTAACTCAGAAGAGTGTAGAAACTACTCCTTTTATCGTCGAATCAGGAAGGAAGAAGTGATTGTAGCTTTGAAGAAGATGAAGCATAGAAAAGCAGTGGGCCCAGACGATATACCAATCGAAGTGTGGAAAGTCTTGGGAGAGACAGGTATAGCATGGCTCACTGACCTTTTCAATAGGATTTTGAAAACGAAGAAGATATCAAATGAGTGGCGAAAGAGCACTTTGGTGCCTATCTACAAGAATAAGGGCGACGTACAAAATTGTATGAACTATAGGGGTATTAAGCTAATGAGTCATACAATGAAGCTCTGGGAGATAGTCATTGAGCATAGATTGAAGCAAGAGACACGGGTTTCGGACAACCAATTCGGGTTCATGCCAGGGCGCTCAACCATGGAGGCAATCTATCTCTTACGAAGATTGATGGAAAGATATAGAGATGGGAAAAAGGATTTACACATGGTCTTTATAGATTTGGAAAAAGCGTATGATAAGGTCCCAATAGATATTCTTTAGAGGATTTTAGAGAAGAAAGGAGTACGAGTAGCATATATCCAAGCTATAAAGGATATGTATGAAAGAGTAAAGACTGCCGTAAGAACTCATGAAGGACAAACCGAAAGCTTCCCCATAACTGTAGGATTACATCAAGGCTCATCCTTAAGTCCTTACCTTTTTGTGTTGGTAATGGATGAGTTAACAGGACATATTCAAGATGATATTCCTTGGTGTATGCTTTTCGCAGACGATATAGTGTTGATAGATGAAACTCAAGAAGGGGTAAATGCGAAGCTTAACCTGTGGAGAGAAGTGTTGGAATCTAAAGGTATTCGCCTAAGCCAATCAAAGACAGAATATATGGAGTGCAAGTTCAGTGCAAATGGAGGCCAAAATGAGTTAGGGGTTAGGATCGGAGATCAGGAAATACCAAAGAGAGATCGTTTTCGCTACTTAGGATCTATCTTGCAAAAGAACGGAGAATTAGATGGAGATCTCAACCATAGAATACAAGCTGGATGGATGAAGTAGAAGAGCGCATCTGGCGTGTTGTGTGACCGTCGTATGCCACTGAAGCTCAAGGGAAAATTTTATAGGACGGCAATAAGGCCGGCGATGCTGTATGGCACAGAATGTTGGGCAGTGAAGCATCAACACGTACACAAAATGGGTGTAGCAGAGATAAGAATGCTTCGTTGGATGTGTGGGCACACGAGAAAGGATAAGATTAGGAATGAGGATATCCGAGGTAAAGTAGGAGTAGTCGAAATTGTAGGAAAGCTAAGAGAAAATCGGTTACGGTGGTTTGGACATGTGCAAAGAATGCCTACTAACGCTCCGGTTAGAAGATGTGACTACGGGACAGAGGTTCAGGGCCGAAGGGGTAGAGGAAGACCTAGGAAAACTTTGGAAGAGACTCTAAGAAAAAACTTAGAGTATTTGGATCTAACGGAGGACATGACACAGGACCGAGCACAATGGCGTTCTAAGATTCATATAGTCGACCTCACTCAGTGAAGAAGGCTTTGGTGTATTTAACACAATACGTTGAAATGAAGCAAATCTTATTTATTGATATCTCCGATAAGTTACAAATATGTACATATACATGAGTCAAAATAAACAAACAAGAGGGAGCCTTCACAAAGGTTGCTTAGGAGAAGTCTCAGCAGTCCGTAGAGCCCAGAAAGAGAAGGCACCGGAGGGGGATCATTCAGAACCTCAGTACTGGACAGAACCCTAGAAGGAGGAGGCATCAGAGGTTGATTATTTGGAGCTTCATTATGCGGTACAGCCCCAGAAGACGAATGCAATAAATGTCTTTGGAACAAACTCACAAACCGCTGATGATCAAGTAAAACCTGACCATCAGATTCTTTCATCTGGTCAAGCTTCTTCTTCATGTTTGTAGCATAGTTATGTGCGAGCCGGTGCAACTGTTTATTCTCATGCTTGAGCCCTTTAATCTTCTGTTTGAGACTCATCACTTCAGCCGCCAATGATTCAACTTGGCGGGTTTGAGCAAATAGGCGTTGGGCCATATTAGACACAGAACCTGCACACTGAACACTTAGAGCCAGATAATCCTTAACAGCCAACTCATCAGACCGTTTGGAAAGTAGTTTGTTATCTTTGGGAGTGAGAAGGTTCATGGCCACCACCGCAGCGATCATATCATTCTTCATCACGGAATCCCTAACGGTAAGAGGACCAGTAGAGGATAAGAAGGATGGGCGCCATATGTTGTCTGGAGAAGGCGTGGCTGCCTCTTCAACAAGGTTCAAGTCAAAACGACGGTCGGAGGGGCCAGACATTTTCAAAGGTGTTGAAAAGAGAAGAGGTCAGACAAATAAAGATCTTAGAAGTGCAAGAAGGGAACTTCTACTGGTGAAGATTCAAGTGTGCTTTGGAACTTAATGTCAGCCTTTATAAAAATCTGCACTCGAAGGAGCTTCAGAAATCGAAGAGGCGTTTGCCCAGAAATCGAAGAGGCGTTTGCTTTCTCAAAAGATGGGCTGCTCAGAGACCACGAGGGCCGATCTCAGAAATCGAAGAGGCGTTTGCTTTCTCAAAAGATGGGCTGCTCAAAGACCACGAAGGCCGATCTCAGAAATCGAAGAGGCGCTTGCTTTCTCAAAAGCTGGGCCGCTCAGAAACCACGAGGGCCGATCTCAGAAATCGAAGAGGCACCTACTTTTTTCAGCCTTGTCAGCACTTGTCACATGCACACTCAGCTTTGCTGAAATTACGGGCATTCTGTTGAAGATTTCTGGTGAAGTAGAAAGCACGTGAATCTTACTGTTCAATCATCCACTTTCCACACGCTCCATCAACTCATGGGTACCACAGATAACTTTGCCAAAGATCTCTGACAAAGTTTGGACACGTGAAGCTTGCAGCTCCCACTACATCGCTATGACCAAGAAGGGTAAAAGAATAGCAAAGAAACATCACTAACAAAGTTTAGACACATAAATTTTGAATGTCTAGCTACCATATTATTACCCACAAGGGTAAAGGAACAGCACCACTGCTGGATAATTGGAAAGTCTCTGTGTGTCAACCTCTGTGCTTCGTGGCAAGGTAGACTAGCAAACATGCCCAACCTTTACTCACATTCGAGAAAACACTTCCAACAAGATTGCTTGCTCCAAAATCGAAGAGGCACCGTCATCCGAATCTCGAAAGCCAAACTCCCAACATGATTACTTTCTCAAAAATCGAAGAGACACTGCTCTCCGAATCTCAATAGCCAGACTCCCAGCAGGATTGCTCTCTCAAAAATCGAAGAGGCACCGTTCTCCGAATCTCGAGAGCCAGATCCCCGACAGGATTGCTTGTTCGAAAATCGAAGAGGCACCGCTTTCTCAACTTCGAGAGCCAGATCTCCTTGGATAAAGCTTGTCTGTAATCTTCACACGCAACATCAGCTTTCCAGATACCACATACCACTTTTTCAAAGTGCTCTGACACACGTGAAGCTGGCAGCTCCCACTACCGTGCTATGACCAAGCAGGTTAAAGGAATAGCATTACTACTTGTTGTTAGGGAAACTCCTATATATGTCGACCTTCATCCTCAACGGACAAGCAGACCTGCAAAAATGCTCAACCCTTCCTCATATCTAAGAGGGCACTCCCAACGAAGCCTCTCGAAATACTCAGCTTTCTTTCCCCCGATAATACCTCTGCAAACAAGCTACACCAGTGCAAGAATATCTCATATCATTAGGGTTAAAAGCAAGAGTATCCCATATCATGCTTTTTCCCTGTCTTTTCCTTTGGCCTTGTTCTTACCTGCAAGACAATGAGAAAGAAAGCAATCAGTCAGCACTTTGAATCAAGCTTCCAGTCAGAAACTGACTGCTTGGGACCCCTTACCTGATTACTTACCTGGCATTGCTCTCGAGTACTCATCTTCAACATCTTATGCTTCCAGAGAAGATACCACATCTGCTTGAGGAACAGCTAGGGAAAGTGAGAATGATACAAGGAAGCATGTAGAGACAAGCGTAACAAAACACGTGCCGATACATCCACTACTTTGTCAACAGCAAAAATATCTCATATCAATAGGGTCGAACGTACTCTAGATTTGATGGACTTGTTTTGACCCTCAAATTCTTCAGTCGGCCTTATACTCTGGAGGAAACCAGAAAACCCTCCATCCCAGTTCAAGAATAAGCCTGTGGAAAGTTACTTCTTCAAAAGCAAAAGTATCTCATATAATCTATTCTCCTTTTCTTCTCTTTATCCTTCATGTTGCCTGCAAGATAGGGAGAATGAGAACAATCAGCCGGAACTCGAAATCAAATTTCTGATCTGGGACTGATTGTTTGGAGCTCTAATTGCTTACCTTGTCTGTTACATTTTTCAGCAGATCCCCTAGCTCGGCGACTTGGGGGACTTCTACTACATGGTTTGTATCGCGCTTGACCAAGCCTGAAACTACAAGTAAGCTTCAAGTGAAATTGATACATTACCTTATGCATCTCCACCAGTTAAAGATACCACCCCTGGATGGAGGAAGAGTACTTCCAGAGAAGATGCCACATCTACCTATGAGACAGATAAGGCAAGTGAAGACGATACCACACTTTGGTACTTAGAAGTTTCGTGATTACGAGATCATTCTCCCACAATATTTGCTAATGTCATTTGTACTAAATCATTCACTTGTACTCACTAAAGGAGAGCTTGAACCTATGTACTTGTGTAAACCCTTCACAATTAATGAGAACTCCTCTACTCCGTGGACGTAGCCAATCTGGGTGAACCACGTACATCTTGTGTTTGTTTTCCTGTCTCTATCCATTTACATACTTATCTACACTAATGACCAGAGCAATCTAGCGAAGATCACAAACTTAATACTTTCTGTTGTACCAAAGTTCTCACTGATTTTGTGCATCAACAATCCTTAAGTCCTTACCTTTTTGCATTGGTAATGGATAAGTTAACAGGACATATTCAAGATGATATTCCTTGGTGTATGCTTTTCGCAAACGATATAGTGTTGATAGATGAAACTCAGGAGGGGTAAATGCGAAGCTTAACCTTTGGAGAGAAGTGTTGGAATCTAAAGGCCTTCGCCTAAGCCAATCAAAGACAGAATATATGGAGTGCAAGTTCAGTGCAAATAGAGGCCAAAATGAGTAAGGGGTGAGGATCGGAGATCAGGAAATACCAAAGAGCGACCGTTTTCGCTACCTAGGATCTATCTTGCAAAAGAACGGAGAATTAGATGGAGATCTCAACCATAGAATACAAGCTGGATGGATGAAGTGGAAGAGTGCATCCGGCGTGTTGTGTGACCGTCGTAGGCTACTAAAGGTCAAGGGAAAATTTTATAGGACGGCAATAAGGCCGGCGATGCTGTATGGCACAGAATGTTGGGCGGTGAAGCATCAACACGTACACAAAATGGGTTTGGACATGTGCAAAAAAGGCCTACTGACGCTCTGGTTCGAAGATGTGACTACGGGATAGAGATTCAGGGCCGAAGGGGTAGAGGAAGACCTAGGAAAACTTTGGAAGAGACCCTAAGAAAAGACTTAGAGTACTTGGATCTAACGGAGGACATGACACAAAACCGAGCGCAATGACATTCTAGGATTCATATAGCCGACCCCACTTAGTGGGAAAAGGCTTTGTTGTTGTTGTTGTTGTTGTAGTAATTGATCTAAAAATAGTGATAGCATAAACTAAGTTGCGCACTACTTGTTGCTTTACAGTGCTTCTTCCCTGAAAACTTCATTGCGAACATTAGAACCCCGCTATTTATACTCAATTCAGCATATGATTCATGGCAGGTAATTGTTCATTATTTTTAATGTCTAATTTCACAATTACTAAATGGAGTTAAATGAAAGAATGCATTGAGCTGTATTTTCCCACTTAAAATCAGATCCCATACAGTTTAGCTCCACCATCAGCAGATCCCCATGGTGAATGGAAGACTTGCAGATTAAACCTTTCAAGTTGTTCTGCATCACAGATGGAAATTCTGCAAGGTGAAATCCCACATATCAGATGAATTGTTAAATCTTGTAGCTGCTTCGGAAACAAAGCAACTAAATTAACATGAAAATATTATGACATTATCTTATTTTTAAACAGGGTTTAGGAATCAATTTCTGAATGCAGTAAAACAATTCTCGGTGTCTAAACAAAACGGGATGTTCATAAATTCGTGTTTCACGCACTTGCTAACGTTGCAAGGCACATGGTTTGCTCGTAATTCTCCAGCTGTTGGAAACAAGGTGAGAGCATGTTCCAACACAGAAACACACAAACATTTAACATATAGAGAAAGAGTTTCAAGATCATGTTTAATGTTTCTCGTGTGGACTATCGCAGACAATCGCAGAAGCGGTTGGAGATTGGTATTTCGATCGAGCGGAAGTTAAGGTTGTCGATGAATCTTGCCGCCGTCTGGCTCTCAAATGAGCATTACTGTTTGATCAATTGGCTCATTAACATGCTCATCCTATTGAGTTCTGCACCATAATACTACGACTAATATCCATTGAGCTTAATGAAATAACTTTGCGATGCAGTTGAAATCAACAGAATTCTACCATCAAACACCATAATACAAAAGAAAGGATTGTAAGATAGTAAAATATATGGCTACTGAGAAGGGTGGCTGTGTTAAGACCGCGCGAGCATTATTGCAAATCCCTTACCCAAACATAGCCTGACGTCTTTGACTCAAATTCTCCGAGGCCTAAAAGCCATGAGTCAAATTTTTAGTTTCTTTTTTTCCCTTAAATGATTTAATCTCATTAAAAGATAAATAAATATTCAATGTTAATCAAAGCTAGAGAACAATGCTGGAGTATCATAATTTAAATAGCTAGTTACAACTTACAAGTAACTTTTTGTGTCATTTGAATTAAAATTAAACCAATTGAAAATAAGTTTTGTGAAATTTGTTGGAGATGCTTACAATACCGAAACGGAATTGGGAAAATCAGTGTGGCCATTTACAAGACATTTGTCAAAATGCTAAAGCCTGATATTATATGCGAAACGAAAATGATTTCAACACATCTCTTTTTTAGTTTCTCCCACACTTATTTTTATTTTTTACCATTAGATTGAATAAATCAACGAAAACAACATACAAAATTAAACAAGATCAAAATGACCATCCCTACCTATACCTCTAGAACTCACACTTAATCTCAATTGTTTTTCCTTCAAATAAAAATACCATCACTTAACATCCTAAAACTTAATATTTACTCCATTTGTCCAATTCCGTCTATTCTATTACATATATGTTAAATTTGCTTAATTGGCATGAATAAGACTCACTTCAACAATCAAAACTTTGTTTTTTTTTTTTGGGATAATCAATCACAGATTAAAACTGTGACAACCCGTCCCTAATTTTACAATTTTATAAATTTTAAAAGTGTGCTTTTAAGAAAATGCCCTTAAAGGCAAGGGTTTTGACTTTTGTTGACCATCGTCTAGAGGAACGTATGACTTTTTTTGGCGTAATTGTGTAATACTCGTTAGTACGAACGCATAGGCGAAAGCCGTTCGTGAGTCCGGATTATAACAGTATAGTTACGGACATTTGAAGTTGTTTCACTAAATTATATATTTAAAGGAAAATAAACTCCCACCATGTGGGAATTGTAACCAATTAGATTTTAGGCAAAATTAAGTGGACCAATCAGAAAAAGAAGAGGAAGGACCTGCCTTCCCATTCCCGTTGGCCTGACACACACATCACACCCAACCCAGTTCCAATTCCGACCATGTCCACCATTTTTTCAGGCGATTTTTGCTCAGCCTTCATTTGATATCAATATCCAACCTCTATGCAACTCTTTTCCCTTCCAAAATCGAGCATCTTGGCTCCTAAAACGTGAGAACGACACACGGCGTCGTGGGGAATTCTCAACGGAAATTCTTCCAATCCGGTGAGTTACTAGTTTTCCCGTGGACAGCTGTCTTTCAGACCATTTTCCGGCCACCTCCGGCCACCATTTGGACTCCAAGCTGGTATAATTTTGTTCTACATTTCTCTAGCTTCGATTTGGTATATTATGGGTTGAATTTGGTTGAGAAACAAGTGAGATATGGAGTTCCAAAGATTGCCCAGAAAATCTGCAGAATCCGACGAAGTTCCATTGAGGTCCACCACTTGATTAGAATAGTAATCGATAATCCGACCGTCGGATCGTCACCAAAATTTAATACATTATAGTAAGTAATATTTGAGAACCATAGAAACTTACGGATCAGGAATCCGACGTACGGATCTTCCCGAATTGGATTTGTAAGTTTATAAAATAAATGTTAACCGCCACTTGGTTTTGGGCAATTGGCAGAGATCCGACCATTGGATCGTAATGAAATTTTAGTATGTTATTTTAGAAGCACAATGTGGATCTTTGGAAGTTATGGATCGGAAATCTGAGTTGCGGATCTCCTGGATTGAGTTATGTAGGGTTGTGGACCCCACCGTCGATCTTTGATCGACGGTTGACCTTTGGTCAATGGATCTCAAATCATTTTAGAATGTCCTTGAGGATGTGCTTTTTGTGAATTATGTATTATATTTATAAGAGTTATGAGATGTAATTCGATAATTGTTATATGCGCCAATTGTTCAGGACGCCTCGATGTACGTGCTAGTTAATCATAGCGTGGGCTCCAGGTGAGTGGATCTTTTTCCCTTATCATAGGTGTATAATTGATAGTTCCACAAACATTTCTAAAGTGATTTATGTATGTACCTACAAATAATTATAGTGAACTACGAATGGCTTGATCCCTGTTTAGGGTACATAGGCAGTCTAACGAGACGTTACATGCAGCTATACAATAAATGAGACTAAATAATTGAGACAACAACCTTGTTTGGGGAATTGAACAATGTGAAGAAGGTTGGTGGAAAAAGCGAAGTTTAACCTTATGAATTTGATGGTTAAATGTTGATCATAAATCGATATGTAAGAAATTTAGTCATTGAAGTAAAGAATCGTAAGTAGTGATAATTAATTTAAACTAGTGTTTTGCTGGGCTTGTCACTGATAATTATTCCCAAAAGTAAATGGTTCGAGAGTGGGGCGTTACAGTTATTGCATTTTAGGCCATTTGTTTATATGTTTATATATCTGGAAATATTATGATATGGTTGAAATTTAGATTTACATCCTAGTATATCCATATGTATATTCCTTGTACATAATTATTGTGAACGCTTTGGAGAGTAAGAATGAACGCAGGACACACAGGTAAGTATACAGTATTAGTTGAACTGATGGGGTTATGGTATGACTAAATTTATGTTTTAAGTAACTCCGACACGATCGTACAGGTTGGAATAGTAGGCAACTCCGGCATTGTCGTACAGGTTGCTTATGAGTTGTACATGTGGTATTAGATGCATTTAAAGCTCATAAACCTGCATCCCGATGTTAGTGCTCCCGCCGGTGGTCAGGGCACAATCAATCACGTAATGTTCACCTCCCGCACCATATGCTCACCTTGAATTCAAGGTAGGTGCACAGGTCTGTCGTACAGACCACTATAAGTGGTTCTAACTCGTAGGTGACTCTTCACGTGATCGTAGCACTTGAGCGTATTCATTTACACCCATTCTTGTCGTACAAACCACTACAGTGGTTCCGACTCGTGTGCAGGCGTAGTGTCGTACAGGTCACTAGAGGTGACTCCGGCTAGATTGAGATATGAGCTACAGACTTCGCCATACAGGCCACAAGAGGTGGATCCGGCTGACATATTATTTGCATATGTGATGAAATATGAATACAATCGTACAGATCAATAGAGGTGATTCCGACTTATGAGCTAGCATTAATTGATGAGATATGAATATGTCCTACAGATCACTAAAGGTGATTTTGACTTATGAGCTAGCATTGATTGATGAGATATGAATATGTTGTACATATCACTACAGGTGACTCCGACTTATGAGCTAGCATTGATTGATGAGATATGGATATGTCGTACAGGTCACAACGGGTGACTCCGATTTATATGGTAGCAACGATTGATGAGACATGTTGATGAGATTTTGATTCAGCCGTACAGGTCACGTGAGGTGACTCCGGCTAACATGTTGATGAGATATATATGTTTATTGAGATCTATGGCATGATATTCATGTGGACTTTGTTATGTCGTGTATGGAATTGAGATAGATATGTATTCTATTTTCTGGGAAATTATACAGGTGTTGCGGCGAGGGGCTACTGCCTTTGGTAATTGAAATTGGTTTGAAAAGTTTTGTTTCACTCACTCACATTTTTCTATTTTTGTACCCCTCCAGGTTCTAGCAACAGAGTTCCGTATCGACGAGGATTCGTGACACTTTTCAGTACAGATGTCTTCTTATGATGGTATAATAATTATCTTATCTTACTGTACTATACTTATGCTATGTATCACGCGTGAAATGGGTCCAGACCCGCACACCGCACACTCGTGTACTTAACCACTTTTAGATTTTAATTTATTCACATTTTATACACACTTATGGCTTCATCACCTTCCAAATGTCGGCCAGCACGGCTCAATTCGGGATCCTAGTGGACATTCCGGGTTGGAGTGTGTTAAAAACATTCTTCCCTTTTCGCCATCAGAAATGAAGCACACACAAAATTTACTGCCATTAGCATCGCACGTAGAACCCTGCAAAAGCTATCCATTCCTATGAAGTAAACTATCACGATATGATAGTTTTAATCTTAATTCCATCCGTTGACAAAGTAGGGATAGATTGGCGTCTTCCCTGGACAGCCAAGTTCTTCGAGACTTCTCTTTGTATGTATCTTTTTATTCTCCTCTATCTCTAAATCTTTTTTTATATATAAACCCTTTTCTGCTTTGTTAGTTAATTAATTAATTGCTAGTTGCTTTACTTGCGTCTCTGTTCCGATTAAAATATGCTCCAAAGTTCGAAACCAGACAAAGAGAGTTGAGTTTAATTTGTGTATTATGTTCCATTAATGATCCTACCCCATGTTACTCTTCATAATTTGCAACATATTTTAATACTTGCTACAGAAAGGTCTTGTGTTTGTCTGCGGGAATCAACTTTCCTGTCTCTCTCTCTCCCCTCAGTTAACATTTTGGGGAGAGTTGAAATTACCAATCTTTCAATGACTGGCAAGATATGAGACTTACTCCCGAATTATTTGGAAAGACTCGTGTTACTTGATTATGACAGTTTCTCACATTTTGATGGTATCGTGTAAGGATGGTATGACAAGATGAAAGAGAGACTAAATATTTTCATAAGTGATGCCCTATAAATGACGTCATCGGGTAATTCTAATTGTGCATGGCGGCCATGCACTTATATATTATCACAAATGAGAGACTGCTGGTTTTTCTGTGCTGCAGATTCATTGATGGAATCTCTGCCAACAAAGGATAAATAATACTCCAATCTTTTTTTTAAGAAAAAATTAGTATCCGGTTCTTAGTTACTAATGTTTATTAACTGATATCTTATTAAATTTTTAGATTTTGATCAAATTCCCTAGTATTAATGTGTTAATGAATTTATATGTAAGTTACAAAATTTCAAAATAAAAATTAGTAGTTGATTTAGCATTTTAATACTCACACCCT